CCGAATCTGTTTATAATATATAACCTCTTAGCTTGTTGTAGTCATACGACCTCTTTATTGTCTTTCTCTATCTCTAGTGCTCTACTAACTATGTCACTATAATTATCTACTAACACTCACACTAGACTTTATGCCTCTAGTTTCGGACCTCTCGGAAAATGGTCTCTCTTACGTGTGATAACCCTTGAAATGAAATTGCAAATCGACGACCATGCTCAAACCTTCGGACATACTTGACCATTGGCATATCTCCTTGCTTTAACTTCATAAATGCTTGTATCTTCTTCAATTTCACACTATCAAAGAAGAATTTCTCATTAAAAGCCTCTTTAAAGTGTGTCCATATAAGATTAGACACATCTAAATAAAATTTTATCGATTCTTGCCATGTCCTTACACTCGTTAACCAATATAAAAATTGCACAAGACACCTTCTTTGTATCCCTTATTTTCATATGGTTGAAAAATCATCTCCGAGGACTCTATCCATTCTTTGAAAACCATAGGATCAAACTTTCTAAAAAATTCCTTTATATTAAACTCTTTGAATCGCTCAACCATGTTACCCCTCTACGGTGACCTTATTATTGTTTGTTGCTACTGCATAGCAATCAAAATTCTCATATGTTTATCATGCCGCTACTCGTTGTTGCTTGCATCGGTTCTTCTTCTTGCCTTAATAGCCCAAACACTTGCTCGCCAAAATTCCATCGCCTATGGGGTTATTATTTTCCTCTCAATTGTTAGCCCTCTTACTTAACCCTATATTACTATGATTTCTTTTTGGCATACTATTCTTGTTTTCACACACCCATATCAATGTCATAGTTCACAAATCAACACTCAAACATATCCATATAATTCAACAAGTATTAAGTGTATTCATATAGTTCATCACGTAAACATAGTACATAATTATCAATACATTTGATAAACCATAAATAAGAGTTCCTATTCAATAAGTTTAAACACCTACATGTTGATAATATTGCCGAAGCTTGAGTTTGCATGTACTATTTAGGCTTATAATTTCACATTGCTCGATACAAAGTCTATAAAACCCCTTGACACGAGGAAGGGTAAGAGTGTTATGACAATACCACACACTCGTAGAATTCGAGGCAAAGCCCTATGACCTCTACCTTATGTATAAAATATAATGCATAGTAGAAATCCTTTGGTTTAAAGTTAAAGTTAGCCTTAGTTTAATTCGTTTAAAAAGCGGCACAAGTTTCACAAAACATAGGTCTATTTCATAACTCGTAACATGTATATATATTAACATATCAAAATTGTCCAAATTTAACATGAGTTTATAAACAAAAGTGACCAAACATTAGAAACGAGAAAAGTGCCCAAATATATGAAGTATAGGTATTGTCTAGCCTTTAAACTTCAAACCTATAAATATAGTACACACTTTAGCAAACTTAGCTCACGCACGGAAGCATACTCAATGTCACAACACGTATCCTTGCTCACCTAATCCACAAGATAAATGATAAGTCAAAGCTCAATAAGTGTAATCATGCATAGACTCTAAAACATACTTTTCATGCTGAAATTATTTTCTCTCTTTCAAGCACACCTTATCTTGAATGTCTAATTCAGCCCTCTTTTAAAACCATGCTTTACAAAAATCTTAAGAAACTAGACATAGTCTAGGCTGAGAGTCTTAGAAAGAGTATACACCGAGATCATTCCTTTTGTAAACCCTCTTTGAACATGAACATAAACATGACCTTTCTTTATATGTTTATATCATGATAAAATCTTTTTCATGACATGGATACAATTAGCGTGCAAACCTTAAGTAAACACATGAGCACAAAACCAAGTAACACTAAGCAAACACATGAACCCAAAACCATCAAATAACATCACAAGTGTTCAATCATCAAATAAACATATAAACACTACAACCTTATGACATCCGTGTATTATGGTGAGTTGGATTACACGTATAATTAAAGTGCAAGACATCAATTAAACACATCGTCACAAATGTTCAACCATCAAATAGACATATAAACACAACAACCCTATAACATCTTTATCTTGTAGTGAGTTGGATTACACTTACGAACACAACATCATAAGTGTTCAATCATCAAGTAAACACATGAACACAAAGCCATATAACATCTATATCTTATGGTGAGTTGGATTACACTTACAAACACATCATCATTAGTGTTCGGTCATTAAGTTAATACATAAACACAAAGCCATACAACATCTATATCTTTGGCAAGATTTGCTCCCTTTGGCAAATTAATTTTCTATCTTGTTCTTTTTTTCTTTTTTTTTTTAGGTTTTTCAAAGTTAAAACACGATAAATGAGACCTAACAACTCTCCCCCTCTTTTCTCTATAGGCTGAAATTAACATAATCAAAAAAGTCTAAAGTTGATATATGTGTGGGACACTTAAGCCATGACATTTTTCTCTAGGTGGACTCATGTATGGGACACCTAATCAAGAGATGTTTCTAAGTTAACACATCTATAGGACACTTATCAAGCTTTGTCTTTAGGTTAACACATGTATAGGACACTTAATCAAGCTATATTTTTAGGTCCCTCCGAGTTTAAAAAATTTAATAACTAATCACCTTATTTTTTCACTTAATTCACTTAAGCCCTCGATCTTTTAAGTGTCACACTTGGGTTCCTTAGTCACCCACACGCCTATAACACTTAGCAACATAAACTTGAAAAACCAAACATTCGTCAATGTAAATACACAACATAGCATGCACGGACATAACAAAATAAACACACACACACACACACAAAATGCATAGGAATGTTTAAAGTCTCGGTTATTACAAAAACATTATTGGATCTACTATCTTTGTTCAACAAAATGTGTAAAAAATCATAATCACTTGTTTTCATTGTGACAAGAACAAAAATTATTGTGTAAATAGGTTTTATTCAATTCAAAATCTTTGTCGAAAACATTTAATTTAGCATTGATATTTTCTATGATTGTAGGAAAAAAATAGAGATATAGGTGGTAAAGGGTTTTTTTCATGTTGTGTGGTGTATATGGGTCTAGGGATGGTACTTGTATAATTTGCATTTTCCATTATTGTTTGAATATCGGAGGTAGAGTGTCTATGAGGATTGTAATAGGGGCATATAATAGAAGTTTTGAAATGTTTTCTAAATCAATGGTATCCGAAGAGAAGACATGATCAAATTATCTAGAACTTATGGATTTTCTAGCAAAAGAAAGTTTAACTTTTATATCGGAAAATTGGGTGATTCCTTTTACTTTTGTTTTTGAGATTGTAGGAATTGGTTGTTACGGTCATGTGGCTACTTCAATGAAGTATTTTTCTATCCATCAAATAGGCTTTGGAATTACGGTATTTGATCTTCTTAAATCGGTTTGTAGGATCATAGCTTTTTCCTTTTGACTTTGGATAAGAGCTTTAAATATAAAGGCTATGGCCATAGCTATGTAATGGAGTTTGTAAATTAAGGCGACCGGTATAGATTCTAAATTCATTTGATAATTATGAGTCATGATACGTAAAGCTAGACAATCAAGAATATTTTTGTCTTTTAAGGAGACTCGTTAAATTTGGATATCGATCCAAAGAAATTGGGCTATTGGAAAGACTAGATTCTACATAACCAAATAAAGAATCTTGAAAATCATAAAACTGATCATCTCATAAAATAGTGATGATTGATATATTTAGTCCTTTTCTAAGGGGTTTTATGCCTACTTGGACTAAGCCAATATAGATATTTTTTTTTCTTTGTATTTGTTAAGTAGTTTGTGAGAAAATTTTAATTCTCTTAGAAAGTTTACATATATGATTTTTTTTCAAAAAAATAAATAAATAAATAAATAAAATCATATATGTAAACCATATGTATGGAATAGAAAGTGAATAGGACAAGCTCGACATCTCATAGAATTAAATTTATTTAAATCTTAATTTTCATTTCATTGTAGTGTTAATAAAAAAAAATGTTGCTAATTGACAATTGATGTTGGTAGAATTTAAATATTTCTTGAAAAACTAATCTTTTAAGTTTTATTATATTTGTTTTACTAAAAAATAATTTTTTTTCCAATTAATTTTTTTATTTTTATATTTGTTAACTTCAATTCGTTTTCTTCTCTCTTTACTTTTTAAGTGATATTAAAATATTTCATAATCTTCAGAGATGAAATTAAAATTTACTAATATTTTTCATTATCATTCCTGACTGAAATGAAAGGAGAAAAACTTGAAACAAAAAATGAAAAATATAAATGCTAATTGGAAAATCAATGACAAATATGGGAGCTACTTGAAACAAACCAATAGTGTTTAATAAAATTAAGGCAATACCTCAAGGAAAAATTGAATTTTACCCATTCAAAAAAATTGATGCAATGCATTGATTTCAAATTATTTAGTTGTTTTTTTTCTTTTTCATCATTTGTATAATAATTTCATTAAAAAAAAATTAATATACTTTCTTTATCTTAAAAAAATAATTGGCTACCTTTCTATTCATATATGTTTCTCAAATTGCTTATCTTGTCAAAACTTTAAGAGTGATATTTTTTAAAATTACCTAATTAAAATCTATTTTATAAAAGATTTTTCAAATACAATTCAATTAAAAAAAGTATTTTAATATAAACAAAAAAAATAGTTATATGACATAATAATTAATAACTTTTTTAATAGTATAAAAAATCCAAAAGTATAATCTCTTTGGAACCGAGAGTATATTTTCTTATGAATGGAACACATGTCACCCATAATCAATTTTGTAAACTAACCGTAAACTTGAACAGAGGGACCACAACATATAAATTGCATAACTCACATGAGCTTAATTAAAATAAAAAATAATGGAAGGATTCACTCAAAAGAATTCAAATAGCACAAGGCCTAAAATGCTGGATAAAACCCAAACAACACAAGGTATTGATAATAGTCTTGAAGCTTAGCGTTATTCTTCAACATCCAGTTCCCATGAGACTTTAATCATCAAATGTGCTCATGAATCCACCAACAAAGCCGGCTCCATTACAATTTCCACACAAAATCTCCCTTTTACCCCTGCAAGGAAGTATGTTCAAGAGATCAGCTCAACAAAAGCCATGAAGGAAGCTCAACTGTTTGTTGATTGAGCACCCAAAAAATTGACATATATATCATGTTAAACACAGGATAGGCCATATCCATACAGGGGGAAGGGTACATGAGATAATACATTTCCTTATCAAAAATCAATTATCAATGCCTGAATAGCGAACAAAAAAGGAAGGCAGGGTGTTTCTGAACCCAGCACGTGTGAATATCTCAAGGTTCATTCTAGTGAAAGCTAATGTTTTCAACACTACAGTCTATACACAGTTTTTGAACAAAGCAAGTATTTGGAAGAATCACATTAAGGGAATCGAACTTAACAGTGTGATACACAGTTGATACTGATAGTAGTATTTTCACTGGTTCAGAACTAAGTAGCTAGCAGAAAAGGGTGAGAGGACAACTTGCTGCCCCTACCTGCAGAGCCAACATAATCCACCAGCTTTAAACTGTCCATTGAAGTGGTCCACAGAATTAACTCCCGCACCTTTGCATTGAGAACACAATACTGCACCTGGTAATTTAATAGAAAGGTAAAAGGTTACAGGAGCTAAAATTTTATTATGATAGCTTTAACCAGAAATTACAAGCTTCTGATCCAAGTAGATAAAATAACACTTCATAGAAAACTCATGCAAGGTATCAAAAAGGAAGACAAGATCCCACTGTGCACTATTCTGAATGAATTAGGGAACCATCTGGATCATTGGGAAAGTTCTGTTTGTAATTTCATTAGCCCAGTAAATACATTAGACAATTTCACATCTCTAATCATAATAAACAATCAGTAGAGCTTTACTGCAGATATTAATACCCAACAAAGTTCCATCCAATTTGCATGCAAATCAGCATCAGCATGCATACCCAGAATGGTAAGGAAAGAAATGCTAAAACAGTGAAATTCTAAGAGCTGCTAATCATAAGACAAACATGCATAGATGGAAGCTCTACTTCGACAGGGCCACATACAGTAACTATAATTGTAAAGAAACTTGCTGCCAAGCTGTGTCAAACTAACAACAAGACACAGCACTGAAAACAAAAGAATAAAAGGAAGAAAAGAAACGAAAAACAAAGCAGATATAGTAAATAAATTAGAACTAACCATTTCCGTCACAATTAGCACAAACAATGCTATTTGGCTTAGTGCTTTTGTTACTACTATCTACAGCCTGTCAAACAAAGCAAAAGTGACTTTCAAGTATAAGTATCTGAGATAAAAATGAAGAAGAAGAAGAAGATAATCAAGCTTCACATTGTCACCTTAAAAGGTATATTGTAAATCATACCTATTTAACATATAGAATTGGTAATAGAAATATTATGATCCCTTAAATTTAAATATATTCAATTACATAGCAATATTTACTAAAGCCTCTCCACTGATGATTTAACCTATTCTTCTAAGAACTCCTAATTAGCATTCAACATGGGAGTGTCTTCTAATCAGATGTGATTGTAGGATCAAGCTGATATTAATGAAGATCCCAAAATATGATCAAGAAGACTTTGGGCCAGATTTAAGGTTAATTTCAACAGTTGGAAATTAATATGCATGTCCATACTTGTTTGTTACAAAGCATGATATATTTAGTTCACGATGCTTAATCCATTTGTCCATTTGCATTTTACAAAGCATGGAATTAGTAATTTAATTCCATATCAGTTTGTTGTTACTTCCAAGGTTTCAAGCAACTTTTTGCTTTCTTGTTTTATTTTCACATTTTTTTTCCTTTACCGCAGTCGCAATGATACCATAAAAGTATCCCACAATATCAATGTTGCCCCCATGTTTTACTTTAGCAAACCTATTAAGAATCATATGATAAAAGATTTGTTACAGATTATTCAAACTTGGCAACAACAAGAATTGATTAGAGCCCAAATGAAGATTTAGGAAGGTGATCATGAATTCCAAGACATGCCAGATGGAGGTTTTGAGTATGAATATAGATAAGTAAACCCCACCCTTAATGCTCAACCCAAAAATAATGCAATACATGTGGATTGGAAGGGAAATTAGTAGATGCCCTTGTTTTGAATAGGGTGGGATTGAAGATTTGTTTTTTATATATATATTTTTTTATATTTTTTTAGGAGCGATGCATGTAGAAGATTACAGAAATTGGGAGGCATGTTTGGAAAACTAATTTTATTGGAAGCCTATGGCTGAAGCTAGAAAGTAGTTGCTTTTAAGGATAAATTGATAGGCATTGCACTTCAAGGTGAAGTAAGTTGATGAGCAATATGCACAACAAGATAAGCCTAAAATCAGCACTTTGGAACACATAAAAACAAAACAGAGCAAGCAATTTTGTTGATTGATTATAATGGAAATGTAGGGGAAGTTCCATTCATAAAGAGAAAGAGGCATGATATGCAAAAATATACTATTGACTTTAACAATCTCCCACTTCAAAATGGGTTGAATGAAACCAGTGAACAAATGACCTCGTGTTATCTTGCAAGTTTGAACCAATCTATTAGAAAACAAACGGTTTCAAAGTTGATACCCGCCAGAAAAACGTAGCAATATGGTGGACAAAGGCCTTTGTCAGGAAGTAGATGGAGTAGCACAAAAAGATGCTGGGACCCATTCAAGTGTTTAAAGTAATCAAACAGTCCCTATAAATAGCCAGGAGGCTTTTATTCCCAACTGTTCTTGTACTAGAGAAGCAAATATAGGGAGCAATGAGAGAAGTGTAGACGAGAAGGCTTTAATGACATGTGGAGTAGCAAACAGTGCTGGTACTAATGCTTTCAAGTATGGTTGTAGTTGTAGTTTGTAGTTGTTTTTTGACAAATAAAGGTTATCAAGTCTTAATTAAAGACATTCATGAGATTGAGGCAACAACAATTTCAACTTAAGGACGAGCTCCTTCCGATCCATTCCATTGATGCAAGAGCTTTCCAATAATCTCCTTATTAATTTCAGTTTTCTTGCTTAGCTTATCAATGCTTATGTTGAATGAACATTCCAATTGTCATGTGATTAGAATGTAAGTTTTAATAACATTACTGAATTAAGACTATTACTGACCCCTTTTCCAAGAAGAATTAGGATCAAGGGGCTTTTGACCTAGTATAATTAGAATTGATCCACAATGAAAGCTACCTATTATCAGGAAGTTACGGAAATAGTTTTTTTTTTTTTTTCCTAATCCAATTCCAGATTTTGTTAACTTTTCAGCCATTCTTTCTTTCTCCTGTCTTAACTCAAAATGTCTCTCATGTTTCTCCATCATCCATTCATACGCATTAAGCACTTGTCGAAAGGGCAGTGGGAAACAGCAGCAAGTTAAAATATTGCAATAGCGAAAAAGATGACTTAACTCCAACTACACTTGCTACGTTACATATCCAACTAGAATAAATACGAAGTTTGAATGATAACTTTTTTCACAAAGCAATTGTTGTAAACTCACCCACACCACCACCCCCCCCCCCCCCCCCCCTCAAAAAACAAAAAAAAAAAAAAAAAAAGGAAGGATAACATACTCACCTTGACCTTCAAGGATGGAAATTTTTTACATGTTTGGAAAACTGGTTTCGCTCGAAGAAACTTTTCAGCAACAGAATTCCCAAAAAATGCTCCTAAACCTGATTAACCGATCCTTTTAGAGATAAAACCCAAAGAGTATCCATTTTTATTTGAGAGAGTGAGATTTACCTGGAGTTTTTAGAGAAACAGAGGAGCAAACGGAGGTGGAACATAGAATGGTTGCCATTCTGAAGAGATTTAACAAATTTTTCCTTTATTTATGAAAGACGAAGAAATTGATAACAGTTAGAAGCTGAGAAAGTGTGGTTCAATTTCAATTTTCAAGATAAGGCTCCCCTCCTTTCTCTGGCAATTTCTTTGGTGGAAAAAAAGGCAGAAGAAAAACCTGCATGCAAGATTGCAACACGTGGCGTTTGAATTTAATCCACCAGCCAAATTCACTTGACTTGGACATCCTCAAGTTTGCTACGTATTTTTCTACCATTTTTTGCTTTTATTAATTGAACTTTATATTGATTACATTTTTCATGCTCTTTTTTCTAGAGAATTTTCTTTGAAAATCATTTTTAATAAATTTTAAACTTTAAATTTTTTAAAAAAATTTTAATTGATAAATATCTTTTTTTTTACTAGAAATTGAATTTTATACAAGAAAAAAGGAGATAATTTTCATAAATCTTACCGAGATAAATGGATCAAATGTAAGAGATAGTTGTTAAAAAAAAAAAAATCAAAATTTTTAAAAGAATTTGATGAGTTATTTTTATTATTATTTTCTAAAAAAAAAAAAAGGATGACATTTACATAGAAACATTATGTATACAAAACTCATTTACATTTTTCATAAGATGTTGTTATATATTGTTTATTCATGTTGAGAGGGAGGGAGGGAGAGAGAGAGAGAGTTTAGGTTAGGTCGCCAATTACAACTCGACCAAACTGTCGCTACTCGATATTTAGGAAATTTTCAAAAATTCTTTTTTTTTGGTTTTTTGATTATTTACTAGGGATATGAGTTATTATTAATTTTGGAGTCACCACTTAATATTAAATGAACAAAAAAAAACATCTAAAATTGATATTGGTTTAAAGATTTGAAAGTAAGAAGTTGGTTATACCTTTGAGAATATATCCATTACCTAAAGAAAGATATCACATCCGATTCAATCCTAAAAATTTATTTTCTAAAAATTTCTATTTTTGAGAAATTTTTTCTCAAGTCAAAATTTTAAATTTATTATCTAAGTCAAATTATTTTTTTGTTCTTATTTTTGTTTGTACCATTATATTGAATCGATCGTCGGACTCTATCATTGAGAGTCATATCAATTCAATATTAGATCTAGCTTAATACATGACATAACTAGTATATTGGAGAATGATATAATTACTAAGGTAATATATTTGAATTAACATTAGTTTCTATTAAATAGGAGGCTTGTTATTTTTCACATAACATTTCTCTATTTTTCTTTTGTTCTTTTTCTTTTCTTTTCTTTTTCCTTTTATGTCTTTTTTATCCTTTTTTTATATTTTCATTTTTTATATTTTTCAATGTTGGTTGAGAATCATTATTGGTCTTTCAAAATTAGAAAGCTCGATGATTCATCCACTTATTAATTATCTAATTATACTAACCTATTTAAATAATATTCAATATTAAATAAATTTAATAGTTCCTACACATTTATAAAAGTGTAAAACTTGATGCTAAATTTCAAATTTAATCAATGCTAGATACTAAACTAAACCAAAATTTAAATACCAAGAGAAATTAAAGGCTAAACATTAAATAAATAAATTGAAATAAAGGAGCAAAAGGAGTTTAAAAGTCTAAAAATTTAAATCTAAACTAGAAATAAAAATAAAAAGTATGCATTGCATGAAAATTTCAGATTTTATTTTCCTAGTAAAATGGCTAAAAAAGGGGAAATAGGGCTTCTTGGGCCTTTAGATCTAGTGAGCTTTCGACCAATTAAGCCAAGCCCATCAGGCGAGCCCAAACCCAATAAAGACCAACCCAACTAACTCCTCTTTTCTTCTAGGCTAGGCTAAACCCGAGTCTAGTTCCTCTTCTCTTTTTCTTTTTCTTTAGGTCTAGGCTAGACGCTAGTTCTTCTTTTCTTTCTCTTTTTTCTTTTTTCTTCTAGGCTAGGCTAGACCCAACCTAGTTCCTCTTTTCTTTTCTTTTTCCTTCCAAGCTAGGCAAGACCTAACGCAATTCCTCTTCTTCTTCTTTCCGGACCGAACGCTCCGCCTCACTCTTTCTTCTTCTTATTTCCTCTTACCCGGAAACTCCTCGATAAGAATCAACATCTTCGAGTTAATAGCCAAACATCCTCTTTATCACCTTATTATCGACAATATGAGATGATTGAGTGTTAGGGGATCACCATGGTAGTGATAGTGTCACTTCCACCTCCTTTAAAATCTTGAATTTAAAGCAACATAATACTAGGCATAAAACAAATAAAAGGAAGAATGAATGAAGATTGGGTTACTCGAATGAAGCGAAGGACTAAAAAAAACAAGAGGAATTTGAACATGTGTATGTTGTTGTTGTTGCCTTTTTGTAGATGGTTGAAGCTAGTGATAAGAATTAGGTGTGTAGCTAACCTTATGTAACACATCAAATTTAAGAATACATACATACATACATACATACAAACATACATATGTATGTATGTATATGAAAATTATTTTGCATGCATAGAGTAATTGTTTGAATGGTGCTAGAATATTACGTGCATTTGAATGAATTTTACGTAGCTCGGTGAATATTTTATCGACTTTTTTGCATATGAATAAACAATTTTATGCAAATTAATTATTTTGAGTGCTTTGGATGTGCAAGAAAATTATTCTATGAGCATTAAAAAATTGTTAGAGAGGTGTAGAAATATTCCATGCACTTAAGTGAATTTGTTTGTGCATAAGGAATATTTTCTCTATGAATAAGTGCATTATTATGCAAAATAATTAATTTAAGTGCTTATATATGTGTGTAAAAAATATGTGAATGATGAATAAATTATTATAGAAAGTATTTGAATTTATTATAAAAAGAAATTATTTTTCAGAATGATGTAGAATTAATTATGCATACATGGGGACCTAATTACATAGAATTAGGGACCCAATTGCTTAAAATTAAAAGTTTAAGCTTTCAAATAAAATTGTAAATGAATTTGAGGAGGCAAAAGTTGTTAGCAAAACTTTAAAGGAAGAACTCAAATTGGCCAATGGAACAGTAAAAATTGGATAAAGTAAGAAATTGAGGAACTAAAATAAAATAATTTTGGGAGAGATATTTTTCTCTTTCCTTGCCACTCACCCTTAGTTACCGAGGGATCATTAATTAATCTTGACTTATGGAATTAATGGAGGGTTAAGATGAAGTAAAAAGGAAGGATGAAAATTAAAGACAAATAGAAGGCGAGGATTAAAATAATTAAAAAGCTAGGATTAAAAGTAAAATCAAAGGTAGAGATTAAACCAAATCAAAGGCCAAGATCAAGTCAAACACCTAAAAAGTCTACCTAAGCTCACCTATCAATATGGCTAGAAAAGGTGGTAGAAAATGTTAGGAAAATTGGAAAACCTAAGGGAAACTCTTACAAATTTTCCATAAAAAATCATAAGTAATCTAACCAAAACACCTTAAATCACCCTAAAACACTTCAATAAGCTTATAATTTTAGGTTGAGGAGCAAAATTTCCAAGGAAGAAAAAGTTAGGGCTTAGCCGAAAGTTTAGGGGGAAAAAGAGACAAGAAAATTCTAAGGAAATTCAAGCTAACAATGAAAATTTTAGGGCTTTTGAGGTAAGTTAATCTCACCTACATCGGAAGAGTATGTTAATTGATCTTAATTGTTAGTTTTATCTAATTAATTTATGTTTAATTAGATTAATTTGGTAAATTAAGGTTAGGGTTCTTAATTAGGTCAAATTAGGAAAAACGAAATTAAATGTTGAATTGATGAAATTGAAGTTGGAAAATATTAATTAGGCATGAAAATAAGTTAGAAAAATGAGAATTTCCATGGCCTATTCTTAGAGGACCATTCGGCCCAAATAGAGAAATTAGGGGTTTTTGGTGCTTTGGTTTATTTAACATTTGATTGGTTGTTTATGTGTTATTATAGTGTATTTAGATGATCTAGTATAAAAATTATATTAAAATAAAAAAAATTCCCCTAGTTTAGCTTAGGTGAAAATTTGGGCTAATTAGTGCAAATTTAATGTTTTTAGTGCAATTGGTACATTGATGTTTAATTAATTAATTTCATGTTATTGAAGTACATTTTGATGATTTAGTATGGAAATTAGCATAAAATTGAAAAATTCACCTAGCTTAAGCTAGGTGTGTATTTAGCCCAATTAAGAAAAATTTAGGGTTTTAATGCTTTTGGTGCTTTCATGGTTAATTAATTGTAATACATGTTTCATGGGGTTCAATTATGAGTTTTGATATGGTTGCTTATGCTATGTGAATGATGTAAATAAATGAAGTGCTTAAGTGTAATATCTAGTGATGGATTGATCTTGCCAAACATGATCCGGTGTGATGCTCCATACTAAATGATTCATTGTTTGGTATTATGATGATTTGAAAGTTAATAATGTTTATGAGCATTTTTATGTTATTGAGGTAAGCAATTTCATTACATAAATGCACATCATTCATGAAATGCATTCTAATGAATGATAAGGTTATGCATTTATATTAAAATGTACATGCATATCAAGTCATTGAAAGATTTCAAGATATGAAAAGAATTCGATCATGGTTTTCCAAAGGAAAATGAAAAAAGTTTCGGGTTTCATGGCTTATGGATTTCATGGTTTTATGAGTCGAGTGGGTGCAAACGTGTACTTTTAGATACTCGACAAGTCCGAATGGATACGGATGTGCACTTTCAAATGCTTGGCACGGGCATGTGCGGACGTGTGCAAATAGCCAAGTGAATACAAACATGTACCTTCGGATACTTGACGAGGAAGCGTCCATAGACGGATCAAATTTTTTGACAAATTATGGAAACCATGAAGTCGAAAGATAGGACATTTGAAGATAGAAAATATTTTTTAGAATGATCATGAAAAAGGAGTTCATGGCATGGAGCAAGGATTTCAAAACAAACTTGACAATGATTTTTCATGTGCATTACACTTGAATACATATATAACATATATGATTAACTTATGAAGCAATCACTCTCTAAG